CGGTCAGGCTTGCTGGCAGGATTGTTTTTAAACTGGTAAGTGGCATACCATTAGATGTACTCAGTGTCACAGTTTCAGAGAAATACTTTCTTGCTTTGTCTTTAATGTAATTAAGAATTAGAAATCAGAAGTGACTAGGGTTGACGAACAAAATTGGACCTGCGTATTGCATTACAAGATAAGTTAATTTGCAGAAAGCCTGATAGGGTCGAGAGATACTAAAATGGACAAAATTAAGGTCAGGGGGCTCATTTATGAAGTTTCTTTTCCTATGTGAAGTGACTATGTGGTAGCATCCTAAATTTTTTTCTGCCTGGAAACAAATCTGGTGCCGGGCACAGCCATTTTGTTGTTATTTGATGCTACTGAAGTTACTGGTGCTTTTCCATTACCTTCTGTGAGACCCTAATTCAGCCTTGCTCATATAAATGTCAGAAAGACATGTGGTAGGAACAAAACACTGTTAGCTAGCCCTTTCTTTAGGGGGCACAATGCCATGCTTTTAATGTTGGCTTAGTTTAACCTCAATTAGTTGTTGTTGTTGTTGTTGTTGTTTTTTTTCCAAACTCTCTTGGAAGTCCTGGGTGTTTGACGTTACCACAGTTAATAATTAATTTACATGGACTGAATCTTGCATTAGGTTAAGCAGCTTATGACTGTGAGGTTGTAAATCAAAAAGATTTGCCATTTTTTGCGGAACCTGCCATGATGTTGTCTGTCTTGAACAAAAATGTGTGTATTTTTTTGTGGTCTGAGAGGATAAAATGTGACTGAGTATCTTAACTTATACAATGTCAGGAGGTGTATGTGCACATGATTGTTTTGAAGGGCAGAAATGTACCTGGCTACACTGTATATTAGTTATGGTCACGTGAAATCCGAGACTGCTAATCTTAGAAATTGTTTGCAGTTACAGTGTGAAGGGCCAAAGTAAATTCCTAAGGATAAGAAAAGTCAAGAAAATACATTAGAAGAGAGTGTCACAACATCAAAAAAATAATATTTTTTATGATAGTTTACAGAACATAGATTAAGCAAAAGAACAGATTTATGTTGATGCCATTAGCCTTACCTGTTTACCTTACTGGCATATCCCATCGAACAATTCAGTACTGTAGAGCGTTTTTAAGATAAGGCATGCTATGTAAGTGTTAATTATCTGTTTTTTCGTACAGCTTAGACGATCAGCATGCCTTTCAGAGAAACTCTACTCTTTTTCTGATCTTCAGTCAAGTAAGTAATTGCTAACTGTATTGCAGGAAATGCTTCCAAGGTCTGTTTTATGGAATGGTCATCCAATTTTCTTGCGACTTGCCTTCTGCAAGTTTCCTCTGTAGAATATTAGAATGTGGTATGAAAAAGGCAAGATGAAACTGAAAATAAAATCTTTGTGGAGAAGAACAGGTTTTTCATAGATCAAGGAAAAACTTGTGCCACTTTTTTTCAAGCAAAATTTCCATCTGATTTTTACTTTTAATATTTTTCTTCATTTTACAGTGTATATCTTACCTATATCTTACTGTTCAGGTTCTCAGTTTTACCTGATGACTGCTTTATTACATAGAATTTAAAAATAAAACTGCTATAAACAAAATATTTATATGTATTTTTTCATTGTTTTTATCTTTTTGCATTAAATGTCAACATAACTACAAGAAAAAGGAGAGAGATCTAAAATTCACAAAAAGTATCTGCATGGCTTTTTTTTTTCCCTTCTCGTTGAGAAGTCACGTAGAAGAAAATTGTGCAGATGTTATCCCTGTGGTTTGACAAGTTTCAGATGCTTGGATGGGAAAGGATCTTCTTTATAATCTCTCAGCTGAACTTCTATTAAAATAGAAAACATTTTTGCACTAGGTTAAAGTTTTAAGATTTGTAAGAGAAGAAATACATATTTTTTTCTTATTCTACAAAATCCCTTTAAATAACATGAATGTTTTGCTTAGCTTAGAATCTTTTTTGTGATGTGTAGAGGTTTGGATTTAAAACATCTTGATATCTTGAGACAGTTTGGTTAAAAATAAAAAAAACCCACAAGCAGACTTAAATAATAAAATAGCTATACTATGTTGTTCTACTGCTGTAGATCCTGACGTTCTGTCACCTTACCCCAAACTGCAAGGGCAAAAGATGTTAATAAGTCGACAAATTCAAAAGGATAAAGGGAATTTAAGTAATTTCAAACAGCAGGATTCACTGCTCTGTTATTCTCAAATTGTTCATTGAGTAACAGAGGTTTACAAGGAATTAGATGACTATTTGAATTAAGAGCAACATTTCCAGTTGCTTCAATACAGTTACCAAGATGAAGACTACTGGCTTTTATGCTTCAGGGCGCTGCTGGGATCCAGGAAGAAAATCTCTTTATGGTAATCTATTGTACCAATAGCTGGCTGCACAGTGGCAGAGGAGGAATTGGGAGGAGGACAGAGGGAATAGGTTCCCTTAAAACAAACAAACAAACAAAAAAGTTTGCTTGTAAAGCAGATTTCTCTAATGTAGGCGTTATTTTATTTATTAAACTGCTAATTCCATACAAGCTTCATTTTTCTTAGCACCCCTCAGGAAATGCTCTATTTCCCTTGAATTTACTGGAGACAAAGGGAAAAACACTGTGATAAGTTGCTGGAGAGAAGCTTGGTATTGACAAGGACTGAGCTGCGATGGATTTATGGTACAAAATCTGTAAAATGTAATAAAACTCTCATTCTGAAGGAAATGCAAATGCTATACAGGTGTGAGGGCTGTTGTCTCACTGCTTTACAAGCAGCAGTGGTATAACCAGTTACTTCACAAGGAGGCAAATAAGAGATCCGCATCTCCTATTTCAGGTGTATTTACACTAAGAGCTTTTCCTGTGTAATTTTTTTTTTGACTCCAAAGTGCAAAGTGTTCAGGACTCCTACTTACTAACCAAAGCTGATACTCTATAGAATACAGTACAGATGAGTTACAATGTTTGCATGAACTTATGTAAAAGGTTTTGGCTGTTTACTTTTGATGTTTCTACAACCTCCTTGCTAGAATGAATAAAGTATATTTATAGTTTTGCAGTTAAGCTGACCAAAGGAATATTTTGGGAAGGTAAGGTAATTCATAGTACCTATGATACTTTGCTGCTCCTGCATCCTCAGAAAGCTGCTATTTCATTTACGTTTTTCCCGTTTACTGTAATTTCATTTATGTTTTTCCCATCTACTGCACAGCTCACAGGTGGTGTTGATACAAATTTGGGATTTATTTTCATTTGATACTTGGCAGAATCAGTGTGAAAGGAAAGTCTCTTTATTAGAGGCTGAGGGGGGAAAAATTTCTGTGGAGGGAATCACATGAATTGGAAATACATGTGATCTGAAGCAAAAAAAACTTCTCAGGAACCATCTCTATAATACAAGACAGTGTTTTAACACTGTAATCATAAATATTACAGATAGAATATCAATTTTCAAATCTTTTGGGTTTCCAAAAGATGATACAGAAATATCAATAAAAATCATTCTAACTATGCTGTCTCAGTCTCCTTTGCACTATGACTTTTCAGTGTTGTCTTATACTGTTGGATGATTTTTGATGTGGGTGGCTTATATGCTTTTATTCTGTTTACATGATATTTTACACAGTTATGGAATCATTATATGATAAAATGCTTAATCCATTTTATTTAAAACATTTGGAGGAGTTTAGCCCTTTATGAGGTTCTATTATCAGTTCCGTATTTCCCTCAAACTCAATGTGTACTCTGAAGCTAAGATTAAGGAGAAGGGGTGACTGTGTGCACTGCTGCTTTTGCTAGTTCTTTCGTTATAAGACTCTTAGTTACTTATGAGAGACTGCAGGCTCAATGTCTGTTAAGACCATTCAGAAATCAGCTGTGGTTACACTTACCAAGATTCGGAATGCAGAAAGGAGCCTGTGTGCAGTATTGTGGGCAGATTTTTTCTGCTTTACTCGTCTCAGTATCAGACCTGCCTAATTAAATCCCCATGCCATATTTAGAAAACTTTCCACAAACCTTTTATAGCGTTCTCTCTCTCACGCTAGGGTTCTGACACAATTAAGCACATTTCTAAAAATGCAAAGTAAAGGCGTTTACACACTTTATTTCACTTTGTTTTTTGCCTTGTTTTCTTGATGTGTTGTGAAAACCAGATCTTGAACGTTAGCCATTAAAAGTCTCATGGGACTTTTTTTTTTTTTTTTTTTTTTTTTTTAAGGAACATTAGCCCTGATGTCCTGGACAGACTCCAACTTGAATAATTGCATTCTGCTTCTGTCTCTCTAAATTCTTCCTAAAGTTACAGCTGGATTCAGTGTTCTTGTTCACGTCTGCCCTAAATTGCAGTGTCCCTTTACAATGTGCTATTTAGATAACTGCTGTTTTCCATCTCAGAGGTTGTTTTATTCACTAATATTGAAGCAAACCATGCCTTCTTCTTTTTATCATAATACATTTTGCAATGTGCATTAGATAATTTAAGATGAATGGCACGATGCCAATTTAAAATGCAGTGCTGTTTTGAAAAATTAAGTTTAATGGAAAAAAAAATCTTCAGTTTTAAAACAATGTTATATAGCCAATGCATGTCCATTTGTGATGTTTTGAAAATTTTGTTGAAACTTGAATTTTCCAGTCATCCAAAAGTTTGGTGTTTCTTCTGAAGAAAGATTATGAGCTTATAGAGTCCTGACAAATGTGTTACTTTTCTATACCGGAGGTGTCCCTACACTGCAGAGAGCATGCATATCTGGATTCCAGTCTTTGTACGTTCAGGTTTGCAAGATCACTTTCAAATGTCCACACTTAAGACATGTATGGAGAACACTTTGGGTAGCTATAAGAAAGCAAATACTTCAGTTACACGCGTTTTTTGCCAGGTATCAAGGGGCATAACCCAGCAGTCTTAGTACTAACTGATTTGAACTCTCTGAGGAATTGAGTCTGAGAGTGCTCTGGGTGTGCTTGTCTGTCCTTCCCTGGCCTTGCCAGAGAAGAGCCTTAGGCCACCCTGACATTCAGCTTGAGTCATTGTCTGCTCAGCGTGTTCCCGACTCTCCCCAGGCATGTGCCTAGTACTGAGCTACTAGGATGAGCTACTTCTAACAATAGTTCTCTTATCTGGCAGGATAATATCAAATAGGCAATGTAAGAAATGATAACAGCGTTTTAGCAGCAGGATCTGACTATCAGGAGGCGAACAGGCTTGGAAGGCGTTAATTTACACTGGAATGGGAACCAAAGCTGTATAATACAGATGCTTCTCATTCTCTATATGTAGTATGAAGATGGGTGCTTTTATGCTGGTGCAGTACGCTGGTAGGATTGCATCATTCAGCCAACCAGGGCGGCCACCGGTGGCTTCAGAGAAACTCTAAACAAGACAGCAGAAAGAGTTTGCAAATAGGAAAACCCATACTAGACCTGGAGGGAGACTGTTGTTGCTTGCTGGCTGGTTGCATTGGAAGGCTTCTGGTTGGCCGTTAACCAACCAGGTAGGTACTAGCAATTTTAGCAAGGTAGCGCTTAGTACTCTGCCAAAAGCGATTTAGACGAGATTATTAAAACAGCTCACTTGTGTGGCCTGTGTGAAATAAAAATTGGCTACCATGGAATTTCCAGAATATTCTGGTATCAGACGTGGCACTTGCATGCCTGTATCTTTCCTACAGCAAGAAGTACAGGTGTTCTCATCTACTAAGGATAGTATCATTCTGCCAAGCCTTGCAAATTAAGCTTGTGAACACTAGTATAGAGCAAGTAAGAAAAACGTGCGTTCAGGGTACCTTTTGAGATAAATTGGGCCATTGTTTTGATGTACTAGTACATACTAATGCAGCCCAGAATGCTGTTGGCCTTCTTTGCCATGAGGGTGCATTGCTGGCCCATGTTCAACTTGATGTCCGCCAGGACCCCCAGGTCCTTCTCTGCAAAGCTGCTCTCCAGCCAGCCTGTACTGGTGCCTGGGGTTATTCCTGCCCACGTGCAGGCCTTGGCGCTTCCCTCTGTCAGACGTCAGCAGGGTCCTCTCTGCCCTTCTCTCCAGCCTGTCGAGGTCCCTCTGAATGGCAGCACAACCATCTGGTGTATCAGCCACTCCCCCCAGTTTTGTCTCATGCGCAAACTTGCTGAGGGTGCATTTGGTCCTCTCATCCACGTCATTCATGAAGATGTTAAACAGTATTGGCCCCAGGGTTGACTCCTGGGGGACACCACTAGTGACTGGCCTCCAGCTGGCACCCTCTGAGCTTGGCACTTCAGCCAGTTTCCAGTCCACCTCACTGTCCACTTAACTAGCCCACACTTCATCAGCTTGTCTTTGAAATTGTTATCGGTGACAGTGTCAAAAGCCTTACTGAAGTCAAGGTAGACAACATCCACTGCTGCTCTCTCTTCATCTACCCAGCCAGTCATTTCACTGTAGAAGGCTATCAGATTGGTGAAGCAGGATTCCCCCTGTGGGAATCCATGCTGGCTACTCCTGATCACCTGCTTGTCCTTCGTGTGTCTGCAAATAGTATTCAGGATTAGTTGCTCCATCACCTTTCCAGAGATCAAGGTGAGGCTGACAGGCCTGTAGTTGCCCAGATCCTCTCTCTTGCCCGTTTTGAAGAATGGAGTGGTATTTGCTTTCTTCCAGTCCTCAGGCACCTGTTCAGATCACTATGGGCTTTCAAAGATAGTCGAGAGTGACTTTGCAATGACATTGGCCAACTCTCTCAGCACTGTGCATCCTGTCAGGTCCCGTGGTCTTGCTTATGTCCTCTTTGTTTAAGTGTTCCCTAACCTGATTCTGTGCATGAAAAGTGGTGCTTTACTGTTTAATATACAAATTGGATTTACTTAATCCTTCATATCCTTTATATTTTCCAGCTTCTGTGTATAAAACTGCCTTTGTCTCTGAGACTGCCTCCCTTTTCATCTGCCAGCATAGTGTTTCTGACACATCCTATGGAGGATGCAGTATAAAAATATGCACTGCTGCAAGGAGGAAGGAAATGCTGCATGACCTTTCAAAAACTTTTTTTAATGTTACCAGTCCAGATGCCTAATTTTGGTACCTAATGTCTTACATCTGCTTACACATCTGCTTTATCTATTGGCCTTTGATCTTTCCTTCAGCATCACGTTTATATGATTTGGTAGTAGCAACTTGATAAACTCTGCTTTTTGTTGATAGGTAGCTGTCAAAAGAATGACAAGTGTCTGGCCTCTGTCAAAATTACCCTCTGTCAAAATTAATTTTGAGGTTGGAAATGTCTAGACCGTATGGCTGCCATTGGACACTTTCAAGATGTTGGTGAAAGATTCTTTTTACTCCTTGGTATACTTTTGTTTTTTCTTCCCCTTAAGATACTGAAAAGCTAAGTGAAGAAATGAAAGAAGGCCTCAGGCACCTTGCACAGACATTGCAATTGTATTTGAAAGCGGAGATTCAGGATGCCTCTCAGCTGCCACCTGCAATTGACTTTTTTCAGATCTTCACAAAAGTAAGTGTTAAAATGTGATTGCTTGACAACTCATAAATTATCCTTTCTTTGTGTTCTTGATGTATTTTTGAGGGGATGTTTGGTAGATATGACCAGAATATGATATGTAACCTAAAGTGAAATCAAGCTATATATTTTTTTCTATTCAGTCAGTATTTAAGCATTTTTTTGAACAGACTTAGCTTGTTATATGAATGTGTTACTTTAAGTAGCAACCAAAGGATTCTTTTTCTTTTTAAATTATCATGGTAAAGCTGTAGGGGGAAAAATTAAATAATGTCGCAATGAAAACATAACTTAGGTTGATTGAATCAACTGGTTTTTGAACGTGACGAGCACACAGCATGACTAGAATTTTTCCATGAAGTGCAATGTCTTGTATTTGTGGAGATATTCACATTCTGTTTTGTCATTTAGTAATATGTACTAATGGGTGTGTATAACAGTACCGTATCCCACAAACTGTGCTATCTTAGGGTCATGTGGGTTATCTGTTCTGGAAAGGCTATCTGTAAAGTACTTGAAATTCATTTCTACACAATATAAAATGTTTATGTTACCAATTAAATACTATTGACCTTTCTCTATGTTTTTTGTTGCTTTCACTTGAGAAAGTTTCATTTGAACAGTGCTAGAAGAAGTACTTCATATGGAGAATGCTCATAGCTTTAACTTCTTTGTTTCTCATTTCTTATTGATTAATATATTGCAGGATGAGATTTCTCTTAAGGATGTTTATGCGTGTTTTAATTGTTTTATCAAGTGTTTTGTCATGATCTAAATCAGACTCTTAGATGTTTTTCTTCTGATATAAACCAAAGGAAGCGCTTTTTTTAAAGAAATGAAGTAGGAGTGCAATACATGATTTTGTAATTTTTTTGTTTGTTTGCACAATCGTGGAATCTTTTTTGCCATGGATGGCAGAGGTGGGAGTAGTATAATCGACAGTGATATTTATCTGGAATTTTTATAGGTGATTGAAGTATTGTGATGTAGTTTGCAACTTTTCCTGACAAAACATGCAGGTTGAAGCATATCCAGTTAGAAGGACTCAGAGGGAAAAAATCTTGTGTGCTACCTGCTCTCCACTCAAACTGTTTTAGTGTCTTATGCTGGCAGTCTGGTTTGGCCTGCACTTTACCAGATGAATTTCACAGGAAACATGCATGCTCTGTTATCTTGTTTAGAGGATTTTCCCTGCTGAAAGTAAAGCTGAGTATCAGAAAGTGATCATTGCTTAACTAGTATAAGCTGAGTCACAGCTTGTGAGACGTTCTTTCCATATGTTTTTTTTCCCTGCTATGCAATAATTAAGCTTAAAATGGAGGTTGGCCATGGTCCTTTCATTGATTTCTTTTAGATCATTATTGAACATACAGTTCAGGCAGATGAGGTGCAGTAAGTGACGCTTTGGGGCAATTTTATGGCAGTGGTAATCACGCAGTTATGACCTATGATAAACAACAGTAATATCAAGTCTTTAGCAAGCTTCTCAGTAAGGAAATTGGTAGAGAAGAGCTTTTCAGTAAAGTTGCATTAGATGGAGTGAGCCAGCATAACACCTCAGAGATGCTGGGACGGAGAAGCATGAGTCCTGCTCATTCCCTTATCACACCTCTGTTCACTGTGGCCACCTATGTGTTGTTCTGGCTCTGGACCTTGCTGGAGCTCTCTCTGAGGTGGCTCCAGCCTCCAACCTGCAAGAAGCTTTTCTCAGCAAAAGAAGTAGCAAATTTTTTCCAGGTAACCATGCTGGCTCAGCTCACCAGTGTCTGAAAAATACAGAGAAGGGACAGTGCTGCATGGTTCAGGGAGAAGGGATTAGAACTCTTCCTTTTAATGAGTTGTTAATTAGCTCTCCCCATTTTACATGTCTTCAACATGGTGGCATTACAGAAACAATATGATGGTCACTCAATACATTGGAGCAGTAGTGAAGAAAATATGGAAACCGTTTTCTTTTTATTGTTACTATATTTTACATGCACGCAGATGCCCCATGTCTGTTCACTCACTGAAGGTGATGCGAGTGAGCATAAGAGGCAAAGTGAAAGTCAGGACTTTCCAGCTCTGTGTTCTATCAAGTGGAAAGCTGCGAATGCTTCCGTTAATGGCGATATTTGCCCCACTACTACTTTGCTGTAACAAAGATATTTTTAACTCAATGTATTCCTTATTTTGACCATGCCTGTTTCCTCTACCCTATTGAACATACTGTAAAGTACCAAGTTTTTAAGTTTTGTTTTTGTTTTGTTTTTCTCTCCTGGATATTCAGAAGCACTCAGACCATTAAAATAGGTCTTTCTTTGTTTATGCTACTGAGTCCCTGTGGTCTGCTGTAGCAAAAGGGAAAGCAAATGGCATAGACCTATCATGGCTTCTGTTATTTAAATAAAATTGACACCAGGAAGGAGGAGTCTGACTAACTGTGAGTTGGTTGGGAGGAAGTTGTTGTTGACTAATATATCCATGCGTATTGCATGCAGGTAATATTAACAGCTTGTTTGGAGGTTCTCTTAGGCACATGCTTTTTGGAAGGCTCTGATATCGCTCTATAATTTTCCATGTTTTAGTTTACGGCTTTCCCAATTGGTGGTTAGATGAATATATTATGAAGTATGGCTTTATTTTAAAATGTGCTTTTAGTATGCCCCCAGTGAGCAGGGGTTTTCTGCCACTCCCGTAGAATGTTTCTTGGAAGATAAGCAGAATGTCAGTGCAAAAAGTACTGTTTTTTTTTCTTAAACAAAATAGGGAATGTTTATTTCCAGCAGGTAAAATTTAGTGCTTTAGAACTGTCAAGTCTCTAGTAAGACTTATGTATTCTCTTCTCTGTGGTGTAACTCTGAAAAAGACCAGCTGCGATGACTTGTATGTCTGGTCATAGAATAAAGAAATACTACAGATACATGATTTCAAGATGTAATGTTGTTTTCCCAACTTCTTCCAACATTCCATTCAAGTTCAGTAGGTGCTCATTCTAACATTGAACTTTTTTTGGATCAGTTCTTTCATTGCATGCTACAAAAAGATCCAGTCAAAGGTCATTTTCATTCTGTTTGATGCTGGACCCTCCAGAAATAAAATAAGCAGACAGCCAGACAAAAGAGAGAGACAGTCCTGCAGTGAGATGAATAAATACCAGATAGTTCTTGGAAAATCTCCAACCTGATTTAGGTCAAAAGAGCTTCCGAGAAGCCCTTTTAAACAGTCTTCCTTCTCTGCTGGCTACTGCTCTGCCATTGGTAAAATTCCTTGTGGTTTTATTCACTTGCATAGAATACCCAATGGACTGTGAGAGTCCCTTTGAGTGCAGTCTCTGGGAAACTTCCCATTGGAAGTCAAAGAAAGTTTTGCCGTTTCTTTGAGTGGGGGGCAGAATTTTACCACGAAGTATTTTTAGATCACGTAAGAGCCACTGGAAGATATCACCTGTACCAGATGGGGAGGTGTTTCAGAAGGATAATCTTCCTTTCTTTTTTGCAGTGTTGCCCTGTCCTTCCTAGACAATTTGCTCTGATATCAGCTATCCTTTGAGTTAGAGTTGAATTTTTCATGCTTGCCATCTGATCCAGATCGCTCTTTGGAAGCTCCAGTATATTTAAAATGCTATTTATCCCAGGTTGTGACTGTTTTTAAATTCTGTTCCTCAATATTAAACACAGAATTATCAGCTGTTAATTACGTGATAAGGCTTTAACTCCACTGAGACATTTTGTAATGTCAAGATAAATTTTTCACACCATGATTTTATGGTTTAGTGGTGTTTCCATAACCTTGAGACAAAATTAGTCCTTGCTTTTTATTCTTCAGCCTTTAACATATGTGAGGAATGGCCTGGAATCCTGTGAAACAGTGGATGAGGGATAAAGACTTAAATATTTTTTTATATGTATATTGTATATGTACAGTATATATATACATAGTATATACTTGTATATGCATGGTTCTTTTAATAATAACAGATGGAACCACGTAACTACTTAAGACGCTGAACGAAATCTCTGCCTACTGTGTTGACTGTAAAACTGTGACTCTGCTGAATTTGAAATCGAGCATAAGATGGCTCCGTATTGGACCAAATTTAGACTTGGTGTGTTGCGTAGCATTGCATCCACTCATACTGTGTCAGAAGTGACTCTTAATGTTTATGAACTTTTTGGATGTGTCTGAGAACTTTTTTTTTAAGTAATAAAAAAGCTTGCTGATGTTAGATAGAATGGTAATCCTTTTAAAGATCTTCTAATTGGAAATCCTCACGTTCGTAGTAACAGTAGGGTATATCCAGCAGCTGTCATGTAATTAACAGTAAGGTAAAATCTGACGTTTAATAGACTGTAACGTAACAGGTTTCTGTAGCAGTTTAGTAATCTTAAAACAGAATTTCACTGGAAAAGAAGGGGCTTGTAAAGGACATTTTGATGAAGTTGTTGATAAACTCCTGGGAAAAGAGTGCTAGGACTGAACATTTTTTTCATAGAGCAAAGATTATACTTCTCTCATGAAATAGCACGAGAATTTCCCTAAATCTTCCGTTTAATAAAATTTCTAATGCGTAGCTAGCTTTCCGAATGGTATCTTAACTGCATTTGGGATGATAAGGATTAGAGAGAGAATATTTATTTTCCTAAGAGTTTGAGTCTTGCCATTCTTTCTCATAAGCAAATTCTGCTTTCAAAGTGGGTGCGCTGATTCCATTAAATTCATTGGAGAGGTCACATATATGTATATGTGTGAGCCGATATGCTTCTCTGTATAGGTGGTAGCGCTGCACACCACCCTCTTCTCGAGTGTTGTCCTACTCTTTCCTTTTCAGTTCACTTTAGAATTGACACAGATCAACAGCAGAGTAACAACAGAGGAGAGTAGACCTAGGTGCTCTCTTCTGGGACAGGATGAAAAAGAAAATCAAAGTCTACATAAATTGGAAATTCATGCATCTTTCATATATGTCAAGCTAAGTTGTTGGGTTTTTTGTTTGTTTTTTAAATCAAAATTTT